AATAGTAAGGAGCTACTCACTATGAGTACGAGCGGCAGGATGTAGCCCTTAATTTGGGCCAGCCAGTCTTTTCTGAAGAAACATTTATCGTGTCGAGTTGGTGCTAAGTGGATTTTGCAAATGTTTCTTAAATTTGCACTAATAGAGTTGCCAAACATGCTGCACCAGTGCAGTCTGCAGCCATCAGTGTTGGTCTCTGACTGCCAGGAAACGTATTTCAGTTTCTGTGTTAAAAGGAGACAATTTAAGGTGCTTTCTTTTTAACCTGAAGCCAAGGCAGAAGTGGATGTGATAGAAGCAAGGGACTGCACATTTTATCAGCACCTTCTCAAATTTGGGGTTAATTTCTGCTTTGATTTATTATGTTCCCTTCTGCACACCTTTCCTCTAATTTTATCAGTAGCATTTAACCAATGAGAAGCAGTTACTTTTCAGTAACTGACGAGTTCTACTTAATATTTTCCTACCCAAAATGTTTCTCTTAAGTGATTTATCAACCTATCTAATCTATCGAACGATTTGTGTACAACTCCCATCATCTTATTTCCGCCCCCGGGCTCCTAAATCTGTTCCACCACTTTGGTACCTTCACAGCCCAAACACCGCTGTCCAAGTAAATTCAGTGTTAGAAGCTGGTTGCTGATCACAATAAGGAAGGAGTCTGGAAGGTGGATAGAGCAGGAGACTGGGATTCTATCCTGTTCACTGTTTTCTAAGCCGAGGCGATAAGTAAAAGTGCTGCATTGTGTCATAGCCGACCTTCATCAGTCTGGAATTTAAAAACACAGTAACTGTTTACTGACAGGTAGAACACAGGAGTGGGTAGCAAATGTTCTAAATCTTTGCTAAAAATAATTTCGTGCATTGTTGTGTAGCCATGAAAATATTTTTCTAACTCCCCAACACAAAGTGGATCACATGCCATCCAGTTTCTATTTCTCAAACTCTGGTGGAGTGAGTATACTTACAGATTGGCTGGGTCTGCTCAAAGCTGACATTTTGGGGGCAAAGGTTTGTAACAGGGTCAGAGTTTCTAGGCTCCTGCGCACGAATTCAGGGCTCCTCTTTTAAGCCAGCCTAAGCTCAAGGTGTAAAGACTTTTTTACAACCCTGCATAAAGATGCAGAATAAACACTGTTGATTCATGCTGGCAGATGGATTTTGTTAGTGTCAACCAGAGTATAAGGGAAATTGAAGCGTTTCTCTAGATCAGAGAGATCCATGGGCTGGAGCAGAGGAGATGCTGCCGGGAAGCCCTAGAAAGTGGATAGATTGGAACCATGTACAGGGTGTACAATGACAGTAATCACCAGGGACCGAAAATGGGACATACTAAGAGCAGGTTTCAGAATGGTAACCATGTTAGTCTGTATCAGCAAAAACAATGACGAGTCCTTGTGGCACCTTATAGACTAACAAATTTATTTGGGCATAAGCTTTCGTGGGCTAAAACCCATTTCATCAGATGCATGGAGTGGAAAATACAGCAGGAAGATATATATAGCAAAAACAACAAGGAGTCCGGTGGCACCTTAAAGACTAACAAATTTATTTGGGCATAAGCTTTCGGTGGGTAAAAAACCTATTTCTTCAGATGCATGGAGTGAAAGTTACAGATACAGGCAATATATAATGATACATGAAGAGAAGGGAGAAGGTTTTCCTTGCAAGTGGAAAACCAGTGTTGACAGGGCCAATTCGATCAGGGTGGATGTAGTCCACTCCCAATAATGGATGAGGAGGTGTCACTTCCAGGAGAGGCAAAGCTGCTTCTGTAATGAGCCAGCCACTCCCAGTCCCTATTCAAGCCCAGATTAATGGTGTTAAATTTGCAAATGAATTTTAGTTCTGCTGTTTCTCTTTGAAGTCTGTTTCTGAAGTTTTTTTGTTCAAGGATAGTTACTTTTAAATCTGTTATAGAATGTCCAGGGAGGTTGAAGTGTTCACCTACTGACTTACAAAAAGCCTTCATGTGTCACCGAAAGAAAAAGCTCCTTAAAATCAAACTCAGCAAAATTAAAGGCGGGAAAAAATCTGAAACAAAAACTGTGGGGCTAATCGAGGCTGTGCGTACCGTGCCCATTCTCTCTTGCACATGCTCACTACGGCAGTCCACCCGCGGCCTTTCTTTCATATTGCCTGTTCAGGATTAGGAGATGGCTCTGCCACAAGCCCTGTATAAGGGGCCCTGTGTGATGATTAGCCTGCTTCCTCTCTCCCACATGGTCCAAGGGGGAAGTCATCTGCACCAGCACTTTACCATATTGCCGGCTCATCTGTGCTGGTTGTGGGAGAGGGGGTGGAGTCAAGGCTCCGACAACTTCCCAGCCCTGCTTGCCCAATTTCCACCCGCCTGTGCTGGGGGAATGGGAGGGGAGTAGCAGCTTTGTGGAGGCTGTTGTTTCACTCCAGCGATACATGCAGCCAGTGCTGGGGAGCGAGGAGGCATCTTATGTCTTTGTCTCCTCTGCGTGGAAGCATAATGTGGGTTCCATCATGCTGTTAGACTGTAAGTTCCTCAAGACAGGAATCTTGTGCTCCTACCTGTTTGCAAGGTGCCTCACACCCTTCTGGGGCAATACAAATATTAAATAGTAATGGGGGAGCATTCAGACTCGCAACCACTTACCGCCAGGCTGAATGTTTCATTGTTCCAGGATCAGCTGACACGGCACAACAAAGATGCCATGCATCCATAATATATCACAAGGGGGCGCGCTGTTCTGAACAAAGCCTCAGTTTTTGTTTGAAATCAGCATCTCTTGGCCACACAAACGCTGTTGAATAAGAGCTTCATTTTAATTTGTTCAGTGCTGGCCACAAACAGGCTTTCACCTTGTTATACTTCATGTCTTGACACTGCAAGCTTGGTTGCGGTGTTGTGGGAGCCGTGTTGGTCCCAGAAGACAAAGTAGGTGAGGTCACATCTTTTGGTGGGAGGGGCGAGCTTTTGAGCTACACAGAGCACTGCATCAGGTGTGGAGAAGGTAAATACAAAGTAGGACAGATTGCGAAGCCTAAGGGGGTCACACATGCTGTAGGAGACCACTTAAAATGAAGTGGGTAATTAACACCTCTGCAGAGGTTATGAGGCAGCAGAGTGTGTTATTGAGGGCAGGTCTACACTTAAAATGCTGCATCAGCGCACTGTAGCATTTTAATGAAGACACTCTGAGCCAACAGGAGAGAGCTTCTCCCGTCAGCATAGTTAATCCACCAGACAATGAAAGGGTTAAATAATTACTGAGGGGGAGAGAAATGAAGACGTAGAGGCAAAGGACATAAATTTGGTTTTAGCTGAGATCTGCCATAAAATAGGGAGTTGAGGTGGTGTAGAGATACAAGGAGGCTGTTCCAACGGGTAGGAGTTGCAGAGGAGAAGGCTCTTTCACCAATAGTGACTGCGTAAAGGTAAAAAAAACGTTAGCTGGGCAGAGAGAAGAGGTGGGAAAGCGGAGAGAGGAACATTATGTGAGGAAGCAGAAGCAAGAGGCTTGTAAATACAAGAACAAATGGATCCTCAAGTGAAAGGTATTGTTAAAAATTAAATTACTAATCACTGGGAGCTTTTACTAGCGTCAAAGATGGTTCATAGCACCCACAGAGACATAGCACCGACAGCAGGAGGGATAGGAGTTGATGCAGGGGTTAATTTCCTTCAAGAGTCGTAAAAACAGATAAGTGCTGTGCTATGTAGATGAAATTCACCCCTGTGCAGAGGGTTATGGCATCGCTAGCGTCCTACTCGAACCCTTAGGACATAACTGATGCACAGATCTTGTGCTGGCTCCCTGAGCACAGGTGAATTTCATCCGTAGGTGAGGAAATGTCGTAGCTTGGGATTCGGATTTTGTGTTTCCTGCAGCTGGTCAGGAAATGCTTCTCCTATTCTCCTGAGTACAGTTTTGATTGAAAAAAAATATTTTTTGTCAAAAGTTTGTTTGAAAATTTTCCTGGTTGTGGATTTTATTTTTAATGGAAAACGTTGGGTTTACAACCGTTGGGTTTTTTTGGTTGGTGAAAACAAAACAATGTTTTGCTTGCCTTTTTTTTCTCCCAAAATCCCTGAACATTTTTTAACAGAAATGGAGGCTTTAAAAAATTTCTGATTGATCAAAAAGCCATTTCCCCACCACTAAAAGTTTTGATGGGAAATTTTCCACTAGCTCTAGTGTTTGCCTTCAGGGGCTAATGAAGAAGAGAAGTAGAGGTGTAGCTACCAGTGCTTGGTACACATGGCAATCTGGATGACTCTTAAAAAAACCCTTACATAATTGATAGATGTACAGTAGAAGGGATGTGCTAAACAAGGGCTTGAATGTATACATTGTGGTGCAATATAGAGCAAATGGCACAACACAATCCCGAGATGAGTGGCGATGGTAGACTCTTTACCTTTGACGCTCACCTAGCTGGTTCTCATACAGGTAAGCTTGCTGACAACAAAGCTTGTGCGCTGAGATGGGAAACCAAACGTTTATTGTGACATCCAGTAAATCTGCACATTCCTCTCTCTCTCTCTTTACAAATGAATTTTCATCATAAGAATAATTGCATGTAGGAGTCAGGAATCTCTCCTTGGGCTTTCCAGAGCATAGGTGAAGCAAGATTTAAGAGGCACTGAGGTCAGGCCAGATTTTCAAAAGGGCTCAGCACCCCCATCTGGAGCCAGATTTTCAAAAAGCCCAGTAAGTTACACACCTAAATTAAGTGATCAGATTTTCAGCCTCCCACCAGCGACTTTTGTTTCAGTAGGACAGATCCGGGTAGGAGTTTTTCCATTGACTTCAATGGGCAATGGATCAAGCTGTTGGATGCCGAGTTCTGGCAAATCTGGCCCCATATGTCTATGGCACGGGGTTTTCAGAATGCAAAATATACAGCCGGGGAAGGGCCATCCAATGAGATGTCCGCTAAGAAAGGGGGTCGGCTTACTTTCCACAAGCCACCCATTTTCCCGTTGTGTTAATTTCCGCCTCCTGTTTCTTTTTGAACCCTAGAAATGAATTCAGACCTTGGGTAGACGTCAACAGAGTCAAGCTTATAAAAGCTAAATCCCAGTACAAGCCCCCGGACGAGAAAGTGAGCCACGAAACCAGCTACAGTTCTCAATTCAAGGGGGAGCCCAACAAGCCTGTACAAGCCGATAACAAATTCATCGATCGCAGGAGGATACGCAGCCTGTACAGCGAGCCCTTCCAAGAATCTTCAAAGGTGAGAGATACAATGTAAGGGGACAAGGGCTTGCGGGTGCCTGCAGCACCGCATGGCTGTGAAGACTTCACAGCACCACTTAGTTTCATTCCATTTCCCATGGCTTATTCATTTCTGGCCGGGGACCCTATTCGGAATTATTCTCTGACACCCCAGTAAGAAGCGTGGGGCCGAATCCTAAGCTGGTGTAGATCAATATAACTGCACTGAAGTCAGTGGTGGGATGCTGGATTACAACAGGTGCAAGATCTGGCCCCAGGACCATCTCTTTGCATTCGCATTTCCCTGATCTCTAACGTAGACTATTATTACTTGGTAAACACAAAGCTACAAATGTGTTACCTTCTTTTATTTCACCCCAGTAACATGCTGAGGGCCAGATCCTCAGTTGGTGTAAATGGAGGTAGCTCCATTGACTTCAGTGGAGTTACACTGATTTACAGAAGCCAAGGATGGGTTTTTAAATGGATCCGATCTGTACAATTTTGGGTCTGGATTTTTTTCTTCATCCCAGAGTTTGGGGTTGTGCAGTTCTTCGAGGTATTGTTTGGTCCCGATATAAAGAGAGAGGGGGTCCGATGGGAAATTCTGCTTCCAGTGGGATTCTGAACCCCCCTCCCAAGTTTGGGAGCGAGAACGGGCTGGATCCAGGGTTTTGCTTCACACCTTCCCCGATATCATTCCAAGTCCACGCTTGATGCTGCTGTTTCTCTTGCAGCAGATGAACCCCAGGCATCCCAATGTGTTTTTCCTCTATTGTATCAACCTGAGAAAGGAGCAGAATAAGGAGCACGCCCTCCCCCCCCCACTCCCAGTCCACAGCCCCCCAAACAATGGTTACAGGATGGAGCTTATAGAGCGTCCAACAGAGGATCCTGAGACTCTTCCCCTCCCCTTTGTTCTGGGCCATCATTTCCCTTGTCTGATCCCAAAGAAAGGCAATGCCTAATGAGATTGCAAAGCCATTCCCCAAATCAGCCAGGCAAGGGGGTGACAAAATGTGCCCCCTGCCTCCAGCGACTGACCGGGTGTCCCTGAATCCCTCCATGTTTTCCTCAAAAACTGGGGAGTCCATCATATAACATCAAAAAAACCCTTTTGCTAGGCTGACCCTGGCAGCCATTGTTCACAAGATTGCTGAACATTGACAGCTATTTTCCTCAGTGGTGTCCCGACAGCTACATGCATTACAGAGACATTAGAATGAGAACTTGGATGGCATCCTTAACCAAATACAATAAGGCTCTGAATGACGTCTCGTAATGAGTAGAACTCCTTAGAGAGCTCAGAGTCAGGCCACATAATCAGCTGGCGTTAATCAGTGTAGCCCCATTGACTTCAGTGCCATTACATCAATATACCTTGCGCACAAGGCCTTTTGTACTTAGATAGCATTAACCCCAACACTTGACTTAGGGCTTGTCTACACAGAGACTTAGGTCTTGTCTACATTACCCGCTGGATCAACGGGCAGTGATCAATCCAGCGGGGGTCGATTTATCGCGTCTAGACGTCTAGACATGATAAATCGACCGCCAAGCGCTCTCCCGTCGACTCTGGTACTCCACCAGGGTGAGAGGTGCAGGCGGAGTCGACGGGAGAGTGTCGGCCGTTGACTTACCGCAGTGAAGACACTACGGTAAGTAGATCTAAGTACGTCGACTTCAACTACGTTATTCACATGGCGGAAATTGTGTAACTTAGATCGATCTCCCCCCCTCCTCCCAGTGTAGACCAGGCCTTAGTGCACAGCAAGCTGGGGTATAAATCAAAGTCTCTGTGTAGACAAGCTCTTAAATGTGGAACATAAACAAACACATATTGCCGTCTCATTGATGATGTCTCTCTCTAAATCCTGTTCTTCTACCTTTTCCTGTGTGTTTCTGTGTTGGCGGTTTGTATGTTACATCCATCCAGGCGGAGAAGCGTAGTGTTCAACCTTCCAAACCAAAAAAGACAACAACGAGCCATAAACCACTGAAAAAGGCCAAAGACAAGCAGATCGCATCTGGCCGGGCTGCCAAGAAAAAGAGCGCCGAGAGCTCCAGCGGGACAAAGCCAGAGGACAAGGAGAAAAGTAAAGAGATGAACAATAAATTGGCTGAGGCTAAAGAGTAAATTTTACTGCACTTTTCTCTCTTTCTTTTTTTTCTTTTATTAAATAAAGGCCACAAAATTAATTAGAGACTTCTAATCTGCTTTTGTTCTGATTGTATTAGAAGCTTTTATGTTTTATTTCCAAGGAGGATTAGGAATACTCATTTCAGAGGTCAGGTTTTCGGCTTTGCCTGCACGACACAGATCTACACAGAATGATGGGGGGAGGATGAGGAGGGTGGAATGCACAGAGGATTGTAGGATTACAAAGGTTTTCAATTAATTGTGTGCTGCGAATGTATTAAAAGGCTTGTCTCTTTCCTTGGGCCTGATCCTCCAGTGCTTTGATTGCATAAAGCTGCCATTTGTTCTGCTGGTGCAGTTCTGTTCCTAAGAGCTGATCCCATGAGGCTGAGCGTCCTTTGGGGGTGCTGAGCTCTGTCTTCTCCCATTGGCATCAACAGTATAGGAGAGGTGCTCAATATCTTGCAGGAACAGGCCCTGTCAACCTGGCATAACTGAGTGGAGTCACTCCAGATTCACACTACTGTGACTGAGAGCAGAATTGTTCTCCGAGACATCAATGGGTGTTTGGCCCAAGGAAGTGATGAAGGCTCAGATCCCTTGTAAGGAAAGATTTGGGGCTAGATCTTCAGCTGGTATAGATGGGCCAGGCCCATTTACACCCGCTCAGGATCTGGCCTTGTGTGGCAGTAGAATGGAAAGTGAAGTAAGGCGCAGAGAGAATCCAGCTGGTTGCAAAGATTTCCTGAATGGGCTTCAGGTCAGACTCTGCAGGTTGTTCCTCCCTGTCGTTTTCCAGGATCTGCATCTTTTGTATGGTTTCCGGTTTGTTTTGGATCTTGGTCTGATTCCTTTGGTTTTCAGCTACAGATGGCTATTGTGTGCCACAGGAGTAGGAGGAGGTTTCAGGAATGGATTCAGTTTGCAGACATGGCCTTTTTATAGGTAGCATGGAGCAAGTCACCATTGTTAGTTTTAAATAGACCTGCACGTTAAGTTGTGGTTGCTCATAATTGTGCGAATGGAGCCATGACCCAGTTATTGGGAGCCCCAACCTCCAACTTGGCCAAATCTTCAAGCTCTCAACTCAGTGTTTATTGTGTCCTTACTCTGGTAAATTCCCACCAATGTCAGTGTGACTCAGTAAACACAGAAGGCCTGTTTCCCAGCCGGCGTCAATTGCATTGCTCTGTTGAGCTCCATGGAACTATATTGATTTACAATAGCTGCGGGTCTGGCCCAGAGTGCTGATCTCAGCAGGTGGCTCACAGATTCAGCAGGAGCTAAGAGAGCTAAGTACCTTGTAGGATTGGTTTCTGCTTGACGAAACTGAGACATTGAACCACCTGGGTAATAAACCCCCAGAGCAGCTGTAGGAATCACGCCTGTTTGGCCTGGGTTCATCTTTTTTGCTATCACTCAATCCAAGTTGCAAATTTCACTGGGCAAAAGCAACTGGGGGAGATGTAAGGTGAGAGCTTCAGAATTGCTGTAGTGGTATTGGAAAAAGGAAAATCTTGCTTCTAGAGTATATCAGATTTCAATTAAATACTGGCAAAGCTGTGGGGGTTTTTTGTTTTTTTCTGGAGATGGCGATTTCAGTTTTCAGAATCTAAATGTTTGTCATTTGGTATGTCTGAAAAATTAAAAGGGATGCCACAATGGAAGGGTAAGAGAAGGTTCCTAAAGATTAGGGACGTTCTATGCTATGGGAATAGCAAACTTTGTTGGCCTGAGTAATGAATACATGCAAAGTTTAGTGTGTTGTGTAATGTGTCCTGTTTGCCTTGTGCTAACAGCCTAAAGCTTTTGAGTATAAATAAGTGTAATGTTCTGAATTCAGTGGTGTATTTCCAAGTTTAACTGTGTTAGAACTGTGTAGTATGAACTAACCAGGATGTTTATGTGAAAAAAAAAAAATATATATATATATACATATACCTCCAATATTTAGGAGGAAACCAGGGAAATCCTCCAGGAAGTAAAACTGTGGAACTGTTTGCGAATGTAATGCATTTTTGACATGCATGCTTCATGGAGAACCTCACTGAACTGTCTATAATGATCATCACTATTCCGAGTGCTCAGAAATGGAATGGATGTTGCGCAACTGCAAACCTCAGTTCATTCTGTAAGTGCAGAGTAGCTCAGCTCAGTAGTTTCATTGAAGTCACGAAAGATAAAGCAGCTCGCTGTTCCTTGCATGAAAACGGATGTTTGTTAACTTTTCGCGGAGATCTGAGCCTCAACGACTCTGATTCTTGACCTGTTGACGGATGCCTCCATTCACCTTTACAGTTCTCCGGCCATGTCTACACTGACAAGCGTCCAGTGGCACAGCTGTACCCATACAGCTGTGGTGCTGTCACAGCCCTTGTGTAGCCGCATGATGCCAAAAGGAAAGCGCTCTTTTGTCAACACAATAAAACCAGCTCAACGAGCGGCAGTAGCTATGTCGGCATGAGAGTGTCTCCTGCAGACCTAGCTATGTTGGCAAAACTTATGTCACTCCGGGAGGTGTTTTTTTCACACCCTTGAGCGACAAAAGTTTGTGGACGTAAGTGGTAGTATAGACATGGCCTCCGTACCATCCCTTCTTATCTCAGGTAGAGGATAGCAACAGTTACGATGATGAAGCGTCAGAGCAGTTGAAGCGTGAAAGCAGTTTACAATAACCAGAAACGCTGGTTCCTTCACACGTGAGAGAGATTGTATCCATTCATTGCAGAGGATCATACATTTTTGCCCATTAGCATCCATATTAATGCTTCACTAAGTGCCAAGTCCACTGGAAGTCAATGGGACTAAAATGGGGCCCTAAGAGATTTAGCAGTAAGTCCCTTGGATAGGCTCAATTTTGTCTCCAGATGTGCACACTATTGAGGGCCGCAGGCATGCATCGAAGTCCATACATTGGCCCAGGGACTAGTATTAGGAGATATAATAAAATCAGGACTTAAGGTCAAATTCTTCATTGAGTTGCACTCCATGCTAGCCCGCTGACGTCAGCTGGGTTACATGCGGTGTATCTCAGCACAGAATTTGGTCCTAAGGGCCTCATCTTGCCTTAGTTTGTGATGGAACTCCTACCAATGGCAGCTGTGTGCATGGATTCAGGACAGTGTATAGCCCTCTGCCTGCTTTCTCGTTGCTCAGACTTAATACCCACGTAGTGAATTTAACATTGATCAGAAAGGAGATGAAATCTTTGCTGATTCAAGTCCACTTTGGATGCTAAGCTTGTTGCTTTAATTTGGCAAGAATTTATTCTCTGATTTTGGGTTTCCAACTGCCACAAAAGCAGTTATACTTCATTACCAACTTACCATATGTTTTGCTCTCCTGGTTAAAAAGTGTTTGCTTTATCCCTGTGAGAATTCCTATGGCTTTCACTGCCTGCTTTCTTATTTTCACTGTGTCTTCTTATTGTGCTGTCACTCCCTTTTGCAAGATGGTGCTAAATGCCAATGGGCTTCTTTTTCTGACTGCTTTGCAAAATCCATCATCCGCTTCCTCATCTGCAATGTTTCTGTTGTAAATACATGACTCCCATGTACTCTTGCCTTTTGGAGGCAGATAGGAAGTGTCTAATTACTATTTTGTGGCCTGGCTTTGGTTGCATATCACAAATTGTCTCTGTAATGTGTTGAGCACACCACTCTTGGTGCTACTTCATTCTTGCTGTTAGTATGAGAATGACAAAACAAACAGATTAATGTATAGCCAATTGATTGTGACGTGCTTGTGATCTTTGCTTGCTCAAAGGGTTTTTTTTCAATGATAAATAAATGCTGAAGACGAATACCATCTTCTTGATCTTGTTTTCTCGCTAAGAAGCACAACTGAGTAAGTGAAGGAAGCACCCTTTCCAATGTTTTACATTGGGAGAGCCATGCTGAGTTTCATATTGCAGAGATAACAGTGAGAGGCTGCACTCTGGCTCTCTTCAGATGGCTGCTACAGTCACATAGGCATGAACTGAGAGCTAAACATTGGCAGAGATGAAGATGGACAGTGAAGGCATGTGAATGGAGCAGGTCGTTTGGGTTTTATTTCTAATCGGTGCCGTGTTGAACAGAGGTCTCCTGCTCCGTGCCCCTGCGCGCAGGAGGCTACTGGGCAAGATTCTCTGCTCCTTGCTGCTGTTCGAATCACAGGCAGCCAGGCCGCAGAAACATGGCCCAATGCGGAGGAGGAGAGGAGTATGATGGCTGAGTTATTAGCACTTGTACCTGGCATTCCAATAAAGCCACTTAAAGCCCATTGAAGTCAATTGGGAGTCTTTCCATTGCCATCAATGGATTTTGGATCAGGCCCTGAGCGCAGAAACTTACGCTCGGGGTCCTCTCACATGATCATATCAAATGAAAGCTACTCGGCGGTGAACTAGCAATGGCACATGCTCAACCACAGGCCTGGAAGCTCAGAATCCTACTCTCAACACTAGCGCTTGCATCATATCTTGCCAACAGTCATGTCCATGTGTTGGGAAGGGTTGGTGCCCATTCACAAGCTGGTCCATATGCATAGATGTCCAGCAACAGGGGGCTTACACAGGCAGTCTATATGAAGCCAAACCATTTTTGGACCAGGGTCCACAAAATCCTTGCTGGGGAAATAATGCATTTGTTTTGCCTGACTTTTTTTCAGTGGTAATTAATCTACAAAGGGTTAAAAATCCATGTTGGAACATGTACTATATTGGATACATGAGGGAGGAAGAGTGGTCTTATTTTGAGCAGTGGATGGGAATCCAGGACTCCTGGGTTCTGTTTCTGTGTGCCACTGATTGTCTCTATAAGACTGCAGGCAAGTCACAGATTAATTTATTTGTGCCTCAGTTTACTCATCTAAAGCTAATAATACCCAACCACCAAGATGTTCTTCAGGGGCTTAATTAACTGAGTATGAAGCACTTTGAGCCCCTTGGATGACACTTTCTGTGTAAGTGCAAAGTATTGGTGTGTGTAGTAATGTAAATGTGATTACCAGCTGGGAAAAAAAGATGAAGGGTAGAGGGGGAAGGGGTGATATTTTGACTTCAAGTTATGAACAGCCAGAGAATTTAATTCAGCTTTTTTCATCCAGAACTGCAAGCTTCTGCCTTGAATATGACCTCTGTTCTCATTTAATGAATGCTACGTTAACACACTGGGCCAGAACCTCAACTGGAGAAAATCATCTCTCCTTGGGCCAGATTTGTGGCTGTTGTCTTTTGGCATAGCACCATTGACTTCAGTGGAGCTACGCCCCTTCGCACCAGCTGAGAAACTGGCCCATGTAAAAAAATTGACATTATACCATATGTCCTACCAGATTTCACACCTATGCCTAGTCTACAAACAATCTGCTAAATATATTCCATTTCCATCAAGTGCTGAAAACAACACCCTGTTCTAGCCTCAGCAACTTCTCACAGACACGCACATACCAACCTGTGGTCAAGCATGACAACCATACAGTCGTAAAACATTTCAATTGCTCTAAGGGTGTCACAGCCACAGGTCTAATTTCCAGAGGCGTTTGCACCCAAATAGATCTGGTAGATAGACAGGGAAAACATGTGTCATTAAGCGTATGCAATTTGGATGTGTTTGTTTGTCATTGTGGAAGCTAATCAGAATTGTTTTCATACATCCAGTATTTATGCACCCGGATCTGACCTACCATGCAATCACTAAGCACCTCTGCTTAGCATTCCAACAAGATCATGGAGGAAACCACCATGCTCAGTGCTGGAAAACATGATTTAGAATTAGCTGCGAATTTCAAGCGCTACATATATGTGAACGATACATTTTGAAGAGATTGTGTGGTCTAATGAATCGAAGATAGGCTTAGACACCAGGAACCCTTGGAGAGCTAATCCCAGTTCTGCCTCTGACTCACTATGTAGCATGGAGCGAGTCCCTTACTGACACAATTGATCTGTCTCACAGGGGTGTTGTGGGATGGTCGGTACAAAGCTTTGAGGACAAGCGTTATTTATAAAGGGATGTCACGCTTTGTAGATCACTTAAAAGGTGGAGATGCTTACCAGAATAAGCACAGTGTTGGATATTAATTTAGGGGAGAAAAGATTAGAAAGAATTGAAATGTATAAATTAAAACTACCAAAGGTCAATTTTACTTCATTACACCCTCAGAAACCGAATGTCTATCGTAGCAACCTTTGGGGATTGTTGTGCTTGTGCTTCCGTTCCCTCCCACACCTCTCTCTTACAGCAGTGGGTAACCCCACTCAGCCCTGTGCCTTCTGCCCAGGCGTCCTCCCTCTTCAGCGCTGTAATGTGACCTCCTGCCTTTGCAGCGCTGGTGCTGCTGGCAGAACATGGGGCTCCGTGCAGAAGAATTCATGGGGTCTCTTGGATTTTCATGGGACTGTGCAGCCACGTGAGCTGTGAAGGCTGGGAAAGAGCTTGTGGAGCCCAGAAGGGCAAAGAAAGCTGCAGAAGCCATGACAGCAGCAGATGTCAACGCAACAGCCTTTCCTAGCAGAACAGAGAAAGCAGCGGGAGCCACATGAAAAGCTGCCTCAGTGGACATCAAAGCAGACGCCTTTTCCAGAGGAAGCCGCAGAGGCTGGATCAGCAGCAGGAGACATTTCAAGGGTGGATTTCAACAGGGCTGTTTTCAGTCTGCCTGGACGACAGCCTGATTGTTCTGGTTTGCACTGCTCAGCTGTGGCCTGCCCTTGTGAGGGGCAGAGCCGGGACTGCATTGAGACTGAGAGAGTCACAGCTCGATTCTTGCTTCTCAGTTCCTACAGCATCCCACAACAAAATATTCTCTGAGGAGGGTGTGGATGGCAATGCTTATATGCACTCACTGAACTGCTACCCATCACCACACTCTGCTCCTAATGATCTCCAGCTGGAGACCTGCCATTGCGTACAATGGGATCACTGGGTGCAGTTAGCTATAGAGAAAGAGCAGCATGTTAGTAAAAGACCTGATGAGGGACAATGGGAGCCTGCCAGTCACCAGTGAAAAGGTTTCCTTCAGGAACTGTACTGTTGTGTGACATCATAATACAGTGACTCTTGCATCTGAAGAAGTGAGGTTCTGACCCACGAAAGCTTATGCTCCCAGTACTTCTGTTAGTCTCAAAGGTGCCACAGGACCCTCTGTTGCTTATCATAATACAGTGCCAACTACAGCCACGGGAGCAAGCCAGAGACGATGTATGGCGTGAGGTGCATGAAGGAGCTGGAAGGGGAGAGAAGGCAGGGATGTGTGGCGAGGGGCATGCCACTATGAAGGACAGACCTGTTCCCCTTAGTTCTGATGATAGTTAGTGCTCATACAGGGCCTTCCTCACACTGAGTAAATGACTCTGCATTGAAATCAATGGGATTGCTAGCAGAGTATCCACTGTGAGTCAGGGGATCAGGATCTAACACCCCTACCCTCTGGTGCTGCGTTCAGTCCATCCGTGCGACTCAAAGGCGTGAGGCCCTGTATTTACAAAGCCCTTGGAAATGTTCCCTAGTTAATGCTCACACTTCTCCGAAGAGGCAAGGGAAATGGTATTACTCTCCCCACTCTACATATGAGCCACAGAGAGGCTAAGGCCTAGCCCCTCAAACCTATTTAGGTGCCTAGCGCCCATTGAAATTAACGGGAGGTAGGCATCTAAATACCTTGAGGATCTAGGCCTCAGTGACGCACCTGAGGCCTCACAGCAAGACATTTGGCGACCTGGGATTACAATTTAACTTAATTAGAATTGAGCTCAACCAGAAGATATGGGCCTGAGGCAGAGTTTACCGGGTGAGGATCTTTGGTCTGTGCCAGGCAGGAGCTCAGACGTGATGACCATACTGGTCCCTTCTGGCTGAAACTAGGAACTTAAGAGTGCCCATCTTCATGCTCAGTCCACTAGACCACCCTGCCTCTATCTCTCAGCATCTTAGAAAAGAGAACACACATGCGGGGAAGTGACTAACACTGCAGATGCCACAATATTGGATCCTTCATTGAGGAGTAGGAAGGTGACCAAGGGCTAGATTCACAAAGGGACGTGAGCACCTAACTGCCTCTTAAGGCACCTGAGGCCAACATTTAGGTGTCGCTGACATTTACAAAACCGCCGCTCAGCTGACACCTAACCCCGTAGGCCCTAGGCACCTAAAGTTCTGCCGGTGGGCAACCGCAAAGCCGCCTAGGATGGTCCTGCTGTCGCAAAGCTGCTGGGAGCCCTTGGTCACACCTGAGCCCTGGAAGAATGATCAAATTAGGCATTTCCCCCACTTATCTCATCCGTGGGCCATGACTTGGTTGGGGTGCTCAGAGCATACCTCACCTGCACACACACAGCCAGGAGCAGGCACGTAGGGGGCTGGCTGGAGTATATGTCTGTCCCAGGCTACCCAATAGACCTATAGTGAGGGGACTCATCTGGAATGTGGGAGATCCAGGTTTGAATCCCTGATTTAGTTCAGGGACTTAAACCTGAATTTTCTGCCTCCCCGGTGAGTGACTAACCACAGGGTGGTGGCTATAATGGGCTGGCTTGCACGCGTGCTGCCTCCCAGCTCGTCTCTTTGGCATTTCCTACTGCCTAGCGTAGGTGGCTCTCCCCTCAGCATCCTGCTTTCTGTGAATCCCTTTCTTACATGCCTAACTGTGCCCATGGGGAGCCTGGGTGCATAACTTGGGGCAGAGGATTCCATTGGGCAGCAGGACGCCTAGGCATTAGATGGCTAAGCCCACGTTGTGAATCTAGCCCCAGGTTCATGATGACATGAGCAGAGCAAGCGCCTAGGCAAATAAATGACATGCAATTCAGGTCTATGCTAT